CAAAAAAGGGTACAAAATTAGAGTAAATACTCTAATTAATTCCAAATATCCTAAGAGAATAACCTCACAAGATCACTCCAAAGAAAGGGTTTACACAAGTATTTCCTAACACTCAATTCTCTTACAAAATACTCTTAATAAATAAAGGAGGAGAAAGAAAGACAAGAGTGAAAAGCTTTTGAATTGGTGTGTTTACAAATGAGGAGAAACTCCTCTATTTATAGCAAAAAATCCTTGACCTAATAATGAATATGATGTCATGGCAAATGTCATGAAAACTTAGCCCCCACTTGAAAAGAAGCCAAATTAATGGTCATATTACAAATCTCCACCTTGATCTAATTTTGGCTTATATATAATAAATTTGCTCCACCTTCTCCGCAATAACCCTAATGGGCAAAATCATTCTTCATAAATGCCAATCAAGTTCAGGCAAAGCTTGAACTTGGACACTGGAAGAGGTTTTATGAACATGTCAGCAGGATTGTCTCTAGTGCTGATCTTCTGAACATAGACTTTTTCTTCAGCAATGATTTCTCGGATGAAATGATACTTTATATCAATATGCTTCGTCCTCTCATGATACATCTGATCTTTAGTCAAGTGAATGGCACTTTGACTATCACAGAAAATGGTAATACTACCTTGGTATGAACTGAGTTCCGCAAATAGACCCTTCAACCATAAGGCTTCTTTGATTGCCTCGGTCACTGCCATATATTCTGTTTCGGTAGTAGATAAAGCTACTACATGTTGTAATGTAGCTTTCCAACTAATAGCGCAACCACCAATGCAAAATACATAGCATGTCAATGATCTTCTTTTGTCAAGATCACCTGCATAATCTGAGTCTATAAAACCAACCAAAGTATTAGTATTTCTCCAAAACTTCGAACATATGTTTGAAGTACCTCGCAAGTATCTGAGAATCTATTTCACATCCTGCCAATGTGCTTTACCACGGCAAGCCATATACCTGTTTACCACGCTCACTACTTGTGAAATATCTGGACGTGTACAAACCATTTCATATATAATACTGCCGACTGCACTGGAATAAGGAACCTGTGCCATGTACTTCTCTTCTTCCTCTGACTGCGGGGATTGAGCAGCTGATAACTTAAAATGAGCAGCAAGAGGGGTACTAACTGGTTTAGTATCTTTCATGCTAAACCTCTCCAAGACTTTCTCCAAGTACTTCTTCTGGGTCAGGAATAGCCTATTGGATTTTCGATCTCTTTTGATCTCCATGCCAAGGATTTTCTTAGCTGCTCCCAAATCTTTCATCTCAAATTCACTTTTCAACCGACTTTTCAAATTGTGAATTTATGTTAAATCCTTAGTAGCAATGAGCATGTCATCAACATAAAGTAATAAGTACACAATGAACCATCATTTAACTTCCGGAAGTATACGCAACTATCATACATGCCTATCGAATAACCATGACCCAACATAAAGGAATCAAACTTTTTGTACCAATGTCTTGGAGACTGCTTTAATCCGTATAAGGATTTCTTCAACAAGCAAACATGATCTTCTTTTCCTTCAATTTCAAATCCTTCGGGTTGATGCATGCATATTTGTTCCTCAAGTTCCCCATGTAAGAAAGTTGTCTTAAGATCAAGTTGTTCTAATTCCAAATCATACATGGCAACTAAGGCAAGCAAGACACGAATAGAGCTATGTTTAACAACATGTGAGAAAATATCATTAAAATCAACTCCTTACACCTGATTATAGCCCTTTGCAACTAATCGTATCTTATACCTCGCATCTTTAACCCCTGGAATGCCATTCTTTAGTCCCATTTGCAACCAACAATTCTTTTTGATGATGGCTTCACAAGAGACCAAGTACAATTCTTGTGAAGAGACTCAATTTTTTCATTCATTGCAATCAGCCACTTGTCTGAGTCAGGACCAGAAATTGCTTCTGAATATTTTGGCGGTTCTCTAATTTCTTCATTTTCTTGTGCAACTGAAAAAACAAGTGCAACATAATCTCCAAACCTTAATGGTTTTTTACTTTCTCTTTGGTCTATGTTTGACTATAGAATACTCCTCTTCTTCTGGTTCAACTTCAGGAGTCTCAACTTCAGGAATTTCAGCTTCTGACTCAACTTCAGAAGTTTTAACTGTATTTTGCTCCAAAGTTGATGAGCTTGGCTCAGAAGGAATGCCAATCTCAACCTCCACTTACTTATGTGTACTCTTTCCTTTATCTGTATTACAAGAACTAGAAGACTCTTTTCTATAATGTAACATAGAGGATTCATCAAAGGTTACATCTCTGCTAATTATAAATTTTGGTGATGTGGGATCAGGATACCATAGTTGGTATCCTTTTACCCCAGATGCATACCCAAGGAAATGCACCTTTTAGACCTTGGCTCTAATTTTCCATTATTTACATGCATGTATGCAAGGCAACCAAATATCTTTAAATAAGAATAATTAGCAGGAGTACCTGACCATATTTTCTCTGGAGCTTTAAAGTTCAAAGGTACAGAAGGAGCTCGGTTGACAATATAACAAGCTGTAGAGATAGCTTCTGCCCAAAAGGTGTTTTCCAACCCAGCATTTGAAATCATGCAACGAGCCCTTTCCAAAGGAGTTTTATTCATCCTTTCTGCCATACCGTTTTGCTGAGGTGTCATTCTCACAGTACGACGTCGAGAAATTCCCTCATTATTGTAAAATTCGTTAAATTCATCATTACAAAATTCCAAGCTATTATCTATTCTAAGCCGCTTCACCTGTTTTCCTGTTTGCTTCTCAATTAAAACTTTCCATTATTTGAAATTTAAGAAAATACCACTTTTGTTTTTCAGGAAATAAACCCAAACTTTTCTTGAATAATCATCAATGAAAGTTAATATATATCTGGCACCACCTTTTGATGGGGTACATGAAGGACCCCAAAGATCTGAATGAATGTAATCCAAAGTACCTTTTATTCTATGAATCACTGGAGATTTGAAGCTGACTCTTTTTTGCTTCCCGAACACACAATGTTCACAGAACTCCATATTTTCGGTACTTTGGCCACATAAGAGACCTCTTTTGCTGAGGATGGAAAGACCTTTTTCACTCATATGCCCCAATCACATATGCCATAATTTGGTGATGTCAGAATTTGATTTATCTGATATTGAAACTGCAGTATCACCTGTAACAGTAGATCCCAATAGAGTATACAACGTACCGGATCTGGATGCTTTCATGATCACAAGAGCACCATGAGAAACTTTCAGAACTCCACCTTCACTTGTGTACTTACACCCAAGAGATTCTAGAGTGCTCAAAAAGATGAGATTTTTCTTCAGGTCAGGAACATGTCTAATATCGGTGAGAGTTCTCACCACACTATCATGCATTTTGATTCGAACTGTACCTTTTCCAATAACTTTGCATGCAGCATTGTTGCCCATCAAGACAACTTCACCTCCAATAGATTCATATGTGGTAAATAAATCTCGATTGGGACACATATGATAAGAACAACCCGAATCTAAAATCCACTCATTGTTAGATTTGAAACTATTATTAGTTGCCAAAAAAATAGTTCCCTCAGTCTTATCAGCAGCTACACTTGCTTCGGTAGTGTCAGTATTTTTGTGCTCATTTTTCTTTTCTGTATGCTTTTCTTTATTTTTCAATTTAAATCATTAAGAAATAATGTGACCTTTCTTATGACAATATTTGCACATGACATTTTTGCATCTGGATTTTGACCTTGATTTAGGTCTCTCACTACTTGAATCTTTCTTATTGGATCTACATCTTATGAACAAGTCTTCCCCTTGGTTCCCACTAGTTTCCCCACTAATATCTCTATCTATTTGTTCTTTTGATTTCAAAATAGATTTGATATCTTTATAAGAGATATTATCATTTCCATAAAGCATAGTATCTCTTATATGTTTAAACGACTAGGGTAAGGAAACAAGCAATAACACAGCTTGATCCTCATTTTTGATTTCAACATCTATGTTACTTAAATCCATAAGAAGAGAATCAAAAGTATCAAGATTCGTAAGTATAGAGGTACCTTCAGCCATACGAAAAGTGTAGAGTTTTTGCTTTAGGTAAAGCCTGTTTTCTACTTCTTTTTTTCTCTCCATATATAAGGTTTTCAGCTTTTCCCATATGCCTTTGACTGAGCTTTCTACTGAAACTTCACGCAAAACCTCATTTGAGAGATTTAAAATAATACATGCTTTTGCCTTTTTGTCTATGGAGGCAAACTCCTCGTCCGTCATTTTATTCGGCTTCTTCTCCTTTCCTTGCAGTGCCAAATCTAAGCCATCTTTAATTAGAATGACTTCCATCTTTAATTGCCATATTCCGAAGTTTGCACTTCGGTCAAGTTTCTCAACATAAGACTTTGTTAGAGTCATTTTGGCTATTTAAACTAACCCGGTTAGATCTGGCACTGATACCAATTTGTTAGGATCGGATAATCGGGTAGTGCAGAATTTAGCCAAACAACGTTATAATGACAATAACAAAGACAATGCAAGTTGATAATAATGGCAATTAAAGCATATAAAGAAGACACCAATTTAACGTGGTTCGGTCAGTGTGACCTACATCCACAAGCAGAGAGGAACAATTTCACTATAACAGCAAGAGTACAAAAAAGGGTACAAAATTAGAGTAAATACTCTAATTAATTCCAAATACCCTAAGAGAATAATCTCACAAGATCACTCCAAAGAAAGGGTTTACACAAGTATTTCCCAACACTCAATTCTCTTACAAAATACTCTTAATAAATAAAGGAGGAGAAAGAAAGACAAGAGTGAAAAGCTTTTGAATTGGTGTGTTTACAAATGAGGAGAAACTCCTCTATTTATAGCAAAAAATCCTTCACCTAATAATGAATATGATGTCATGGCAAATGTCATGTAAACTTGGTCCACAAATTTTGTTATATTGGATATGATGTCATGACAAATGTCATGAAAACTTTCCCCCACTTGAAAAGAAGCCAAATTAATGACCATATTACAAAGTGCATTACTAACAAATATTACAAGTCAAAGATTCCAAAACATTTGCATCCTTGCAAAACAAGGGGCTAACCATGGCCATGGAGAACAAAATAAAAAGGCTAAAAACAAGAAAAACTATATGACTATATACACTCTTTATACAAGTACATATGATCTTCACCCACACAAATAAAGGGGTATGAAGGAAGTTAGGTCTGAAAAAAAAAAAAAACCAAAATCCATTCAAATATATGTGATCATAACGATCAGTAAATTAAGAAAAAAACAACCTTATATTTGAATGAAGTTGTCAACTATTCTCATTCAATGGCCTGCCAACTTTTTCTTCATTGTCCATCTCTTCCTGCACGCTTCTAACGCCTCCTGCTTCATTCTTGAGAGTTCCTGAAAGCATTGTTGATATTGTGCTTCAATTGTGTCAAGCTCCAACTTTAACTCGGTATCCTCATCTTTCTCTATTAACGATAAAAATGAACAACTGCTTGACAAACTCATGCCTTTGGAAGCTCCTCCATCTGTATCTGTCAAAGTTACCTCCAGATTCTTTCCAAATTCATTTGGTAATATGCATTCTACATAATCGCCACTGTTTTCTTGCAACTTACATTCATCATGAAACAAACCCGTGAAATCTATCTCCGATAAGTTTCCACTAGAACCTTTAGAGACAACATCTGTAAAGTAATCGCCAAATCCAAATGAATTCCCATTCTTTAGAGAAGAGCTTTTCCCCATTACTTGAGAAGCAACTGAACCTTGAGACTCGTCGTCTATCACATTTGCCAAATGTGAAGGGGAAGCAAAAGTAACATGACAAGAAGTGCCATTTGAGTTAGCATACAATTTATCTTCATCAGCTTGAGTGCTAATTTGGTTATTCATACCCAGAGCTGGAATATCATCTTGTCGAGCATTGGATGTGGTAGGGTTGGGTGACAAGGTTAGGTAGTTCTCAAGAGCATGACTTCTCCCTCCACTAGAACGGTACTCAGAGGGAGGCTTCCAACTAGGCAAAATTTTCATTATTAGGTAGTCAATGAAGTCAGCAATAAAATCTACATCGTGATCATCTAGTTGCAATTGATCAACCATCTCAGCCGCAACTAAAAGTGCAGTGTCAGTATCAAGATAGAAATTGAAGTGTATATTCCGTACTCTGCCTGCAAAATTCAAAGGCTTTAAATAAACAAAAGCCTATTTGATTCCAGAAAGCCAAAGAAATAAAGACAATAATGAAATAGAACGTATGTACTTACCTGAAGGGCATTTAATTCGCAAGGTCAGTGAAACTGAGTTCTCATCATTCTTCTTACCCGTCAATTTAAATTCATTATTCTGATGAAACCTCTGGAATTCCAATGTTGGAGGACAAGGACTTCCACAATGGGAGTCTGTATATACTGACTGGTTATACTCAGAATCTACATCCATAGAATGAGGTGCAGATTTCAATGAACTTAATGATCTTGGACTTTGGTAAGGTGACTGCAAAAGACTATGGATTGGCTCATTTAAATTCTCGAATTGAAGAAATGGATCTTTAAGAAGGTCCTTGGCAGGCAACCTTTGAGGAGCAGGAACCAGGCATTTTTCAATGAATCCTTTGACTTGGGGATCGACAACTTTGCCGAGGGAAGCAGGTTTAACACCCTGAAATAAAACTTCCTTAGATTTACAAAAACATGTATGTAATAGACTAGACAACTTAAAGAAGCAACTTTATTGAACTTACCGAGCTAACTTTCTTAAAAATTTGAGCAGGATTTTTGCATTCACTGTAAGGATATTCGAAGGTTACTAATTCCAACATACACATTCCAAAGGAATATATGTCCACTAGTTCATTGTATTCTTCTTCATAAAGCTCGGGGGCCATGAACTCCGGCGTCCCTTTAGAGCAATAGATAAAGTTAGCAGTACTCTAGAAGAGGAGACATTATTTCAAAGCACATCGATAGAAGAAACACCCATACCAATTACACTCTTAGCAGTAGGCTGCTCCATAATGGTCGCCAATCCAAGGTCCCCAATCTTAATTTCTCCATGATTTCCATTGACAAATATGTTGTCACATTTCAAGTCCCTATGAATGATAGGAGGGCTCTGACAATGAAGATAGTCTAACCCTTGAAGTATCTGCCGTGCCCAATTCTTTATAGCCTTCATATTAACACTTCTATACTTCTTACGGTATCTGATAGCCACAACCTTACATAGTTATTGTACGACAACACAATTTGCAAATAAATAAAATGAGAAACTATAAGAAACTCACTGTCTCAGGTTCCCAGATGTGAAGAGTTCAGTTATCATGTTAACTGTTCTCTTCTTGTCATCAATCCACGAATCGCAGAACTTCATTATATTGTCATGCTTCAATTGTCGAAGAAGATGAATCTCCGCATACAACTTTCCTAAATTGTCTGGTGACTGCAAAACATCATCGACTTTCACTCGGCTCCATGCAACTTCAATACCATCAAGCAAGTCAAATGCCTTGTAGCTGAAACATAATTTAATAAAAAAGACAAAATATTTTATGCTCTGAATACACAATTAGCACTTTTATAAAGGAACAATAAAGATCTGCAATAAAGTTTAGGAACATACAGAGTCTTGAATGCTCCCTTGCCCAATACTTCACTGTACTGTAGGTGATATAAAAGATTGTCAGTGAAATAATACTCTGAAGTTTTCAGTGCTAAACAGAAGAACATTTTCAATTTTTTCTTAAAATTCAAACTTCTACGATTTTTTTTGTCGTCAGCTTGGAAGCAAAAAATTGCTAAAAAACTAGAATTTGGCCTCAAGGAAAAAAGAGAATCCCATACCCCTTTCTTCATTTCCTTTTCGCAGCTTTCTCAATCACATAAAAAGTTTCACCTGCTCCTTGTTTAACATTCTATTATTTTGATGAAAATTACATATTGCACTTCGAACTTGAAAGCACACATTATCATCCCATATGGTAATTCAACAAAACGAAAAAGATAAAGTGGATTAGTATAAACTCAATCATTCTATTGCAAATTACTATTCTGATCCCATTATCAGCAAGAATCAACAAAAACCAGTTTTCANCCCCCCAACCCACACCCACACACACAATTTATAGGATGCAGGATGACTAAAGGAATTAGGAGCTTGGAAAGTTCAACATATGTGGCAGTTTGAGTAGTTTGATCTTTAATTCTTAGGCAGTTGGGTAGTTTGTTATCTGGCTGTCAAGAATTTTCTCTTTGATTGAACATCTTCAAATTAGTTTGAGCTGAAGCTAGCCTCGCTTGACCTTTACTTTCCATCCACAGAAAAAGTTTCATTTCTCTTGGAGTGTTAACACACTACGAAAAAATAGGGATTACAATGTCTCTTACAGCAGAAAATTGTTGCTTGGAACTACAACCACATGATATTGCTTATGTTTATGGATTGGACAATATTGTGAAAGGATCCAAAACAACTAAGGAAGAAATGAATCATATACTATGATTTAATATGCATTTCTTTCGCCTCTGAGTTTAGACTATAGACCACCTAAAAGCATCTATGTGAGTACAATGTGCTATTCTCCTAAGAAAAGAAAAACTGAATTTTGCTACTTGATTATCAAGCAATTCAAGAAAACAAACATTAAAGCATAAAATAATACTATAAACAATGGAAGCACAACAACAACTGCGAGTCAATCCCAAACTAGTTAAATTTGGACCCTGTCACCTGTTGCATTCTAATACTCATTAATAGAAATGAAGCAATTAATGTCCAAAATTATAATGCATAAGGAAGAACCAATACCAAAACAATAGAGAGTAAAGAGAATTACCCGAACATAGCGACCCTTGGGATCTTTCTCAACGAAATCAACTTGGTGATTAGGTTGCTGATCATTAGCAGCAGAACCTAAAGATCCGCCTTTGTTACTAGAAGAACGTCGTAACGGGCTTCCATTTCCAAATCCATGACCGTTTCCAGAATGATAAGAACATCCTGATCCACCCCCGAAACTCATTCCCGTAATCAACCAAACAATTATAACAAAGGAATAACAAGATTTAACAAACACAACCCAAAGCAGGACAACCCAGAAATAGCAGAAAAACAACGTATTAATCAAATGTTGCCCAGAAAAAGATGACAACTTATTTGCATGTGGGTAAATGCCTCGGAATAAGAGAATGCCGATCGCACGTGGAAAAATCTTCAACGTGATCGGCATTCAAAATCGAGGCTAACACCTAAAATCTCATTTACAGAATGAAAATTCTTATCATCACAATTACCAAACTTCACATTACACCGCCACCTTCTTCTTAATATCTTTCTCAATCAAAAATATTCAGGCCATGCAGTGCTAAGTGATGATTTTTTTTTCTTTCCAAAATGCTAATGATGAATTAACCCTTCAAAACATAGTTATTAATTAGGGGATAAAGAAGGGCTAAGGATGAAAGGGAAAAAAAAAGGAAAAATATAAACTATAGATAAAAAGATGAAAGCTATAGCTAAATGATGATGGAGATTAGAGGGAAAACAATTAGTAACTTTTTTTTAGGAGGAAAGAGAAAGAAAAGGTATGAAATGGGGTATGTGGAATTGATATAAGAGAGGAGAAGATAATGCTGGAACAAACACTTGTCCCGTCCGTTTAATCATCTCCTCTATCATTTAATTGGAATTGTGAACATGATTTAGGGTAGATTAAATGTAACTAAGCAATTGCAGTAACCTCGGCGAAAAAAAATGCAGTAACCGCTAGACCAAAAATAAAAAATAAAAAAGCAAAGTTTATAGGAGTATCAAATAAGCTACAACAAGTCATGTAATTAAGGATAAATGGTTATGGAGATGCCAAAACTAAATAATTTTCGAAAAGGAAATTATGTTATACTTATATTGGGATAAAGATGTATCACACAATGGAGCACGGAGAATTAATTTGGCCATAAATGTTTCTCCTGCACCAACCCCTTCATCAAGATGCATCCACCCCATACGAAAACAAAATTAGTAAGTTCTGTCTGATCCTAAATTGTTTGCTATTTTTTGGTACGATAATATAAGATTCATGACCACCAAGAAAATTTGCGAGATTTTGAAATATGTATTGGTAACGTAAGTGTTTTAAGTATATATTAATGGCGAAAAAGTTTTATAGAATTAAGTTATTTAAAAAAACAATTATAATTTATAAGTAATTATATGATAAAGTGATTGGTGACTAGTATTAGAAACTATAGGCAGAATGACTTATATGTTACCTATACTTGTTTCACTTTGTCATGTCGGTCCCCAAATTTAACAATTTGCCAATTAAACACTTACATTCCTTCAAATCGTGTATAAATAAATGCTTATAACAGGAGGCTACCAGTGCGTGTAATACAATCTCCTACACGTAGACACCACGTCAAGAAAATTAACCCACGTNAAACCTAAATCGAACCACTTCTGTCTCTCCTCTCTTTTCCGTCATCGTTGCCGGGATTTCCATCATCGCGGTTGTTATCGAAGTTTCTGGGGTAAGTTTCTTCATCTTTTGTCTTTATTGATCTTCATTTCCCTCAAAATATGGTAGGGCTGCTTATCGAGTGGATTGAGCGGTTATTTACTCTTAACGGTTTGGCTTATCGGTTATCGGCTTTTAAATGTATTAATCCGCTAGCCACCCGATAAGATATCAGGCGGATTGGTATCGGTTTAGATCTTATCGGGCGGTTTATCAGCCTAATTCAATCTATATTGCGTGCATTAATTGTTTGCTGACCGCTATGACTCAAAATAAAATTCCTATGCTCAGCAGACTACATTCCAGTCTATAGAATACAATAGATGAGTCCATTACATCCCAAAGCAGACTACATTACAGATGAGTCCAGAATACATATGTCTTTCCTCCGCCTACAACTGCAAAGGAAAAGTCAATGCTCCCTGATTAATTCTGAAATGATAAAATTCCAGTTTATATTCAAAGTGAGTCCAGAATACATATTTCAAAATGATTAATCCATAAGTGAGCAGACTACATAGAAATGTTTGGCTTGCAACTAACACCTAACAGTGCTTGAATTTCTGCAGCTTCAAAGTTCAAACAACAACTTAATCCATAAGTGAGTAGATCCCTGTAAAAAATATGCATACACCAAATTTTAGCATTAAGCAACGAAGTAGAGACTGTGATAAATACTACTGTCTTGATTCTTGTTTGATGTTTAGATGACTTTTCTCATACATATTCTTTCCGAATAGATCATTAAGTACTCAATATTTTTTTCGCAGCGTATTTTCCAGTAGAATCATCTCTGGGGATGAGCCTATTAAGAACTTATAACTATCAGAAGAAATAGAAGAGAACACTTGGTATAATACATGCCATCAAAATTATCTGTATTCAACTCTGATTAGTAGGTTCTGAAAAGGAAATACATGCAATTAGAAACCTATTGGTTAATGACTACTCCTTTGGAATAGGCTACTTTGCCTCATGGTTAGCAAACCAGTATATCTTCCCTTCCTAACTTATCTACTGAAAAATAAAATATTCTTTCCTCTCATCATATGTTTCTAAATTCTAATCACCATAACCCAAGTTGATGAAAAAGGAAAAAGCAGCCAAAATTAATTTATAATTTCCAAATGAAGAGATGGCGAGATACAAAATTCACAGTTTTCATAACCATTAGCTTGGTGAAGCATTTATGCTTATTTAAGTACAACAGTACAACTTAAGTTCTCTTTATCATAAGGAAACTATCAACTACTTATTAGTGATAATAGAAGATAGAATGTCTACTGATAATTACTGATGCTGACTAATCATAGCAGTTGCAAGCACAAATTCAATACTTGAAGCCTTGATGGGTTAAATTCGAATTCTTACCAGATATATTAACACTACACGTCAATTACGGAAGGGTCTTTTCCATTGCTGGCTAAATCTGAACAAAAAAATTAAAATAATGAGTCGTGCGATAAATATAAGCATATCAACAACACTTATATACAACAAATATAGTAACAATATTATTACTTTGTTCAAGCTGCTCGATTTTATCAAGATCTTCCTCAACACTAACAAGTTGTTTTAATTTTTCATTTCGAAGCCAATCTTGAAGACACACTAGAGCTTGCGCCAATTTAGGAGTTAATTGTTCTCTTATGCATATTCCATTCACTATCAATCCAATGGGCAGTGATACACATGTAATTGATTATTTGTATAGAAGTCCAGGTATCAGTGGTAATACATACTCTTTATTTTGTTTCTGTAAAAGACCTCTTCAACTTTTTCTTTTCTTCATTAAAAAGATCAAAACAATCCCTAGTTACAGTACTACAGGAAGGGATCCGAAAATAAGGTTGCGCCACTTTCATAAAGTCTCTAAAACCTTATTTCTTAACAAAGCTAAAAAGAAGCTCATCAATTATTACCATACGACCTAACGCCTTTCTACACTCTTCTTGATCAAATTTCCAAGTAACAATAACTACGTCACCCTGACTACCCCCCGGAACACATTGAAAGCCTAAATTTGATTGTTTTTTATCAACAATAGCAGGGCGTTTATGACACTTATTCATATGAGTAAGAAGTGTCGACGTACCATCTTTGGTCTTAAAACAATACTCAATAAAGCAATAGTCACATTTTGCTTTTGTACTCCCTTCAGAAGTAATAATTTATGTAAAGTGATCCCACACAACAGATATTTTTTTTCTTTTTTTGGTTATATTTGACTCTGTTGTTTGAGCTTGACTTATTGCATTTGAATTAGAAGTCCCACTTTCACCCATCACCTTATCATTTTTTATATTTTCAGCTATGCTATGAGTCACTGCAACAAGAAAAAAAAAGGAATGAGAATAACAAGTTGCTTAACAGATATTTATACAGGTACTGTCAAAATCGATCTCAAAACAGATGAGTTTTGTGAACTTTAAAACATTATGCTGATTACTGTTGCTTTTAAATTTTGTATACTGAGAACGGAGTTAAACATCCTAAATTTTGTATGCTTTTAAAGTGAGAAGTTTCTGATTCTTCACAAAACTTGTGTTTATGTTTCAAAACAGATCAGTTCCTGTTTATGTATACTGAAGCAAACATCTGAATACTTTGAGAATTGAGATGCTCTTTGATTTTAAAGACATAACCTTCAAACATAAAAATCTGATTTTGATGAGAACTTTGATGATTCTGAAGAGTCTGACTCACTGTTTGATATAGATGAGAACATTGAAGGGTGTAGTGATTTGGAAGATGACTTAGCTGAAATTAGACAGTCTAAAATCAACAAAAAGAAGAATGCCCAAGTAAATGTAGATGAGATACCATCTGGTCCAGTTGGTATAAATTCTGGTTTTGAAGCTATGCATAAGAACAAAAGGGAAAAATATGAAGGGAAACTAGGAGGGGATGACCAATATTTTGACAACTGAGATCCAGGTAGTGAGTGTAGTGATGATGAAAGAGAACTTGTTGGCCCTGATAAAGTAAGGGATGCACCAGCTAGGAATCCAAGTAAGAAGGTCTACTTTGACACAAGTTGCAAAAAAAAAATATTATTTTAACTGTATATGATATTTGCTGTCGTGTCATCTAGCTTAAACTCTTATGAAAAGAAAATCTAGAAAGCATGTCATTTACTCTTTCTTTTGAAACGTGCCGCCATTTCAAAAAACAATTATGATATACATTGATAAAAGACGACAAGTAATTACTGTTATAAAGTTCGACTAGAGATTTATTTGTATTGACATGAATTATTTGATAATTGTGATATAAATGTGACAAAAAAGGTGTATAAATTGCATGGGGCGCCCTATTTGGTCGTCCCTTTATAATTTGTAACCGTTTTATTTTTCCGTTTGCATCCGTACCCGCTTTTTTGTTAAAAATATTTTAAAAAGACGATTTTGCCCTTCTTTAATAAAAGACTACTTTCTCTCCAAGTATACGACATATTGTCTCTTGTCTCTGTCTCTCTCTCTCCTTCACGATTTTTGATTATTCTTTGAAATCAAACGGTTTTCGCCATTGTATTCTGCTTGATTAGCAACTATTTCTTCTCCAACAAAATTAAGTATACTCACATGTACGATTTTAATGGTTACTTCTGTACATTGCATTAACTGTGTATGGGGTTTTAATTTAGGATTAGTTTTATGATTTAATTTCTGGGTTTTTTGTTGATAGTAATCTTAGTTGAATCGTTTTCCTTTTTTTATTTGTCCTAAAATAGTTTCCTAGGTTTTACTTTGATCAGTGCATTAGTTTTGTAGGTTTTACTTTTACGATTAGTGTTTTTAGATTTTTTGAAACTGTGTTTGTGTTTTTTATAAAAATTCTATATATTCTTCAGTGATTGTTGGAGACATTAAAATTTTTAAAAACTTTGAGACTCAAATAGATGATGCTATTAAAGTCTGAAGTTTATAATACTTCAAGGATAACTTAATTCTAGGAGCGAAAGTTTTGTTTTGTATTTTGTAAAAGTAAAGTATGTTTTGTATGCAGT